TAGACGCGCGGCCGTTGCCGGGGGTTCCGAGGTTGCGAACCCCCGGACGGGTGACGGACCGTCGCGAACGAGGGGTAGCATCGCGCCGTTGCGGTTCCGCTCTCCCCCGACGGACAGTCGTAAAGTTGCCCGTGGGCACGCCTGCGGCGCGGGCTTCGCAAAACTTGGGGCCCCCCCACTCTTATTGATGAAATCTGCACTGCAAAGACACCCCACGGCACCTCACGAGAGCATCTCCGGCCCCGTCCAGCGGTACGTCACGCAGGGCAATCGACTCGTGCTCGACGCCAGCGCCGCGCGCCGCCGCGCCCCCGGGTGCGCCCGAAAGCCCATCACACGGCGCACCTCTGGACCGAGTTATCCGTGCGGAGGCCGCCGTCGCGCGACGAACGAGCGGTCGCTAGAGATGGCTCATGAGACGCTCTCGCGAACGAAACCCGCCCGTCCGCGCGCGCAGCGCTGCCGCCGGGCGCCTGCGCTGGACCGAGACCGCGCATGTATACCGCGAGGCCGTGCGAGGCGCCGGTGCTCGTCGGAGGCGCCGGATGGCCGCGCGGTCACGGCTCGAGCGCCGTCGCGCGACGCGCCGGTTTCGGCGCCGGAGGCCCGAGCAGGCCCGCAGGGCGTCGGGCCGCCGCGGCGACGGCCCAGTGACCGGATACTATGATATGGCCGGCCTGTCGGCGACGCTCCGCGGCGCCGGGGCGCCGTGGTCGGCCGCGGCCGCGCGCCGACGCCTTCGGCCGCGAGCGCCTGCGGGAGCCGTCGGCGGCCAGCGCGTCGACGTCCGGCCCTCGCTGAGAGCACTTGCGGTCCGCGCACTCGATGTCGATGCTGACCGCTGCTCTGGACCGCCGAACGATCCTCGAGCCTGCAAAGGGTCGCCATACGGGGGTGAAACATGCCCATATAGTGACCTAGAAGATTGTATCTTAGTGAGACAGAGTGAGCAATCCCCTGACGCCCAAATAAAATAAAAATGAACACCCGGCACCTCTCCATTGCGTGCATCCGCCCCATGGGCGACAGCGAACTTGGGTTCCCCCGCGCGGTGCGCGGTGATTAGGAGATGTGCATGAAATAGTCTTCGCAGGTGAGCGTGGAGTCAGGAAATGTAATAGTAACGAATCCAAGAAGCGGGACCCATACATGCACACCGCTCGATAAAGTTTGTATCGGTAAGAATCCTCGGAATATATATCAGATAGCTACTGAAGTCGGGAGTAGCCGCAAATTGTAGATGATGCGGAGACAGGGCGAGTTTTGATCGAGGTTCGAGAAGTACTATTGGAATCTGTGTTGAACGGGTACAGTGCGGCGCTGTGCGTGGTAGGTGGCCCAGGAACAGGAAAGTCTCGATGCCTTTTTGGTGCTCATGATCTGAAGTCTGGCCTACTACCAGAGTTTGCAGAGACATACTATCGCCGCAGGGGACAGCAAGCTGCTATTGGAGTAATTGATGTTTCAGTTTCTCAAGTATATGGCGAACAGGTGAGACAAGGAGTTCTTGAAAGGATTTACATTGACTGCACTAGGTTTATGACCTTCTCTCGCCGCGTCATGACTGTTGTTCCAGCAATGTAAGCGGCCTTGGCGGACGCACATACCACACGGCCAATAGTCGAGATGAGTTCCTGTCTTTGGTCGCAGATGCTCTATCCGTTCGAGCTGCACTATATCTCCAGTCAGATGTATTCCCCAACTGTGCTCACCTCCATATCCAGTGTGCTTGTCAAACCGACTGGGGCCATAACACCGCGTCATTTTTGGAGATTGGCTCACATACATTCTCTATGGGCACGAAAACCATCGAGTATACCTCGACAGCTGAACAATCTCGTGAAGCTCTACAAAAGTGTGTTGCCACCGGCCGCTTGGCTAATGCCTACTTGTGTGACTCTATGCTCACAAGTATGATGGTACAAATGCTCACTGATCGACTTCGCACAATTTGGCTGGGTTGTATGGGCCCAACCCTCGTTGATATCTACGAGAGCGAAACCACACTAGCGCTGCTCGCAGAGTCTCGACTTCTGCAATATTCTTCAATGTCGGCTTCACTGAAATTGCGCGAGCCACATTATTCGCCTCATTTGAATCACTCGCTGAAGGAGCGGCTTCGGATCACAAGAGAGTACAAATCAGTCCGGAACAGCTGGCTGGCTACATTGGGCTTGGAGTCTTCTGGTCATGGTCGCATGGCAGAAGTACCTTGCTTATCAAGTATATCACCAGATGTTCCACAAAAATCACCCATGGTTTAGTGTCTCAAGAATTTCCTTGTTTGACCACAATTGAGGTTGTCACACCTAGGTGTTTCTGTCCCATCGCCTCTACTTGCCAGTTGACAAAAATAAAATTTTGATTGGGTCTAGGTTTGGCTCTAATGCACAGAACACACGCATAGTCATGTTCAGGGTAGCTGGGATTCTTCCAGCTCACTGTATTATATATCTGACTGGGGGAGACAATCTCATGTTGGAAGTCGAACGAGATGCATTAGTTTCTGTCAACGGGGAGCGCATCCTGGACAATACGCGGAAGCTGTATGACGGCGATCACATCTTATTGGGACAAAATATACTTCTCCTTGTGCACATGTCAGAGGCGAGTGTCAGGTGCGCACGATCGCTCTTTCAACCGGCACTCGGAAAATGAGAGTAAGTCTTCTTAGGAGCCAACAGGTCACGTGGAGTATGGCGACACGCAAATTTCACCATGAGGCGATCACCGCCCATCTTTCCCACAGAAAAAAATTGCAGTGTGAAAATTGGAGCCTTGAGCAACAGCTAGTGACACTGAGTTCCATGGTCTTCGAAGCAAATTGTGTATCCCAATGCGGGCATATGCCGAAACGAGTCTCTTTCAAAGTCCAGAGAATCGTGCGTTACAAGATCTTGCAGGTCTCCGACGAGCTAAAGAGAGACACGCGATTCAGGGTCAAAGTAGTTGAAACTGGTGAAGATTTATTTGAGCCTGAGCCTTGTGTTGTCGTAATTTCAGAACGCAATGATGTCGCAGACACTTGGAGCTTGATAAAGATGAGTCGTCGGCTTGCTCAGATTCGAAGCCTGCGGTCACATTGGTTTGAACTTTACGGGAGGCCCTCCTTGTTTGACACTGTCGCTGACAATCTTTTCTACGACCCCCCCCGGCATGAACTAGTTGGTGTTGGGTACACAAACAAATGACTGGTGCTCAGTGTTACATTGTTGTCGCACCAGCCATGCAATGTTTCTGGAATATCAGGTTCTGTTATCTAGAGCCCATCTTTTACCTCCTAGATATTGCCGCTACGGTGCTTTCCCTTTACAGGCACTTGTGGCAGTCTATATGTATAGGTGCCTATCGTGAGTTTCAAAGGTGATGCTGTCGGTACGGTTGATGTCCAGCTCAGGCCGAGAATAGGGAACTCGCAAGAGAACACGTAATGATTCAAAATCAATGTACCGCCATGCAGATTGCCATCTTTAGGCACAGGGCCAGCGAAGTGAGCTTGGACAGTTATTTGGGGGAAAAACTGGATCTCATGATCAAAATCAAACGAGCCAGTGCGCTCCCACGAAAGCTGTGCTCTTCTGTGAGCCTTAGACCACACTTGAGAATAATTAGAGTCCTTGGGGGGATTAGGCATATGGATAGATGATTGTTGAAATAACTTATATCTGCAGGTGTTTGTGCGAGCATCGTTCTTCTTGCAGCCTTCCCCTTTGCTAACGCCAAGATGTGCAAAGAACACAGTAAACCCTGCCTTGGAGACCGTCTTTCAGCTTCATCAAATGATCACCGACGACTTTCTAACATATCTTACAAATGGTGCGCTGGAATTGCAGGCAGGTGTTCGAAGAAGTTGTTGGCAACCTGAACTCTACTTTGTAGGTCTGGGGGCAGCGGTGATTTTGCCTGGTGCTAGCCTGCCCTTCATCAAAGAAAGTCTAGCTTATTTTCTTGAAGTCAGTGACCTATCTGTACGGGCGTCAGGCGCTCTCTGATCAAGGGAAAGCGCCCTCTCCCGACCGTACCTAAAGAGGCGAGGCCCGGTCCTCTCATCCAGGGAGACCGGCGCACAAGCAGCGCCATAAATGCGCGCTGATTTTTTGTGTCTTTTCTGCTGGATGTGAAGGCCAGCTCTCCTGGCCCCTTCTGCTGGCCGAAGGCCGGCCAATTTATTATTATTGTTTTTGGCGGCCGGCCTCCAAAACAAGCGCTTTTTGCGGTGTAGCGGGAATTGCCCTTCGATGTACACTTCTCCTACTTGACTTTGGGTTCACAGTACAGAGTAAAAGTTCCTAGTAGGGAGATAGGGAGATCTCCACTTTCCTAGTGGCTCGCTGACCGGGTACAGAGCCACCCAGGGTCTTCCCCTTTTCCCCCGTAAATATTTCTAGCTGCGTTCTGCACTGTAATAGACGGAGAGTCTTCCTGGACCTAGTGAGGCGGGTCCTCTGCCCGTTCGTCCAGTAACCCCAGCCCCTCTCCGGACTGTACCTTGACGTCAGGTTGATGTACGGGACTTGCGCTCATTCTAACCACCGGATGCTAAATTGGGAAATTGAATCGCGTTGAAGCACCTCCTGCGCACGTTATGGGCTGCGACCGGGGCCCCGGGGGCGGGTCTGGAGTCCTTCCTATCTCGGACTAACCGCGCAGTGAGGCTCAGCGTCCGAGAAAACGTGCGCGCGCCGTCTTAGTCCGCGATAAGAAGGCGATCTTGACGTCGAACGGGGCAGCCCCTCGGTCGACGGTCGTTTCGTGTGGTTTATGTACGAATTCGCCCTTCCCGGGTGGAATTAAAATAAACGGTCCTACTTTTATAGGGGGGGGGGGGGGGGGCACACTAAAAAATGAAACATTGTTTGTGGAGGTTACGAGGTTACTTTGAGGATATATGGCACGCTCCCTCATCGTTTCGAGTCGGCTCATGATCCTTTTACTTAGCATATGTCACATTGAAGGTTCGTTTGATAATTGTGCTGGGAGCCGCATACGTACCAGGGCCAACGTCAATCGAGGTAGTTGGCTGTGAGTGTCTGAATCGAGTCTCTCTTGTTTGCTTAGAATTATATAATGAGCCCTGTCCTCGCAGATCCCTGGGCATATACGTGCCTATGTATCAGAAGGAGTAACAATTTTGCTCAACTTTGTCAGCTGCACCCGGGCCTGGGGTCTCCGCGATGAGTTTGCCATCGAACAAGTGACCTTCATCAAACCGCCTTGTCTTGGATGCGAGTGCAGAAAATGGACAAGCACGAACAGCTTTCTGACTTTGATCGAAGGAAGATGGCAGCATGTATTCACCTATATTAATGTTTAGTAGTCTCCATTGCGAGGAAGCGCCTCTAATTTACAGGCCTGCTGCGCAGGAATGCCACCAACGCTTGGTTTCTGGCGTGAGCCAATTTGGAGTACCCCTGGCGCTCGAGTATCATATTCCTGTGTACCAAAGCGCTCCACTCCTGACCGGAAGGTGTACACAAGCTGAGCTCTTGAGTTGGGAACTTCTTGCATCGTGCGGGAGATCTCGTAGGAGTCAGGACCAGGTGTGTCGACACCCGAGGCAGTGACACCCTGATACTGTAAAAGTCTAGCGACTTCTGGCGGGAGACAATGCGGATCAAACCTCGCTGTGCAGGTGCCAAATATGCCGTGGCGTCCACTGGTTTTTTTCTTTATCATGCTAGCTATTGACTGATTTTTCAAGTCATAATCACCAGGGCCAGGGTCGGATGCTGCTGCACGTGCAGACTGGGATCCAAGCTTGTGAGGTTCTCTTGGGATATCTGGATTGGTTTTCAGACATGGCCGCACATCTGTCGAGCCAAATGCTATTGGATCGTCAGTCAGTCGCTTCTGTATTTGGGATTTGAAGGAAGACTGTGTGGTTCCATATGATCCTGGACCCGGCGCCCCGGAGCAAGTAGGCTCTACAAAAGGTAGGCTCTTGGGCCGGTTCCAACCCCGACGTTCTGCTGTTGTCCCGAAGCACTGCAGGACCGATGGCCAATCGCATCGGTGAGACGCCGGTCCAATAAACCTGTGTGGAAACATTGTGGCTGTTGTTTCAAATTTTGAATCAAAACATACGCGCCCGGGCCGATGTCGTTGGTTTGTCTTGAAAGAGCCGACATTTCAAAAGCCATTGGAATTTTCGATTTGAAACTGGAAAGGCCAGTCATGGATGTCCCAGTGTGTGTTCCAACATGCTCGAGGTGACCTTTACCGCTTGGGTCATAGTCGCCAGGCCCAGGGGTAGTATTACTTGAAAAGACCTGACCGAGCAAAATCACATCTTGTTGAACAAAGCGACTCTTAGGCGCTGCAGCGCGCCTGCCGTCGAGTGCTCGACTTGCAGAAGGTTGTTCCGTCCGAACGCATCGTCTTCGGCAGATTGTAAAAGGCGGGCCCGACTGTGTCCGGACCTAGTCCACTAAATACCTAAAAACTTCCATCTGATAACTACCAAGGCTATCAGAAGTTTATCGAGAGCTCCGCTTGATGACATCTCCTGGCATTGGGAGGGGCATCGGACCATGTTCGCTAGTGTCGTAGCCGTTTGATTGCTCCCTTCGCGGAATGGTCGGTGGATTGAATCGTAGCGCTGAGGACTCTGAACCTGTTGCCTTTGCAACACGTGATGCGGCCGATTCCCCCTTGCAATTCAAGGGTCGCCGTGGACCAGATGCGGGTTCCTTAAAAGGGTTCCTGTATTGACCAGGTCCTGGATTATCGGCAATGGTAGACAGACGAAAGATGGTCGAGCCGGGAGCAGACGGTGCTAGCCGAGCAATGTTTGTCTTAAATATATTGCTTGAAACTTCTCTGCGAGATACTTTCGACGCACGAACGTAGGACCCAGGACCCGGTGTCAGCGCAGACGTGTGTGTGTTTTGATTCAACTTGCGGGCGTTGGATGAAGCGAAGGCGGCGAAGTTGGGTTGTTTACTTGTGTTTAGTTTGCGCCTCGGTGTGTAGCTCCCCGGACCAATTTCACCCGGGGTGGAATGTTGGATCATGATCGCCGCACCTGTGTTTCTCGTCGAACGAGATGGCATGGCCATGATGTAAGTCAAACGAAACAGCGCAAAGACCAAGATATAAGATATAGGAAATGATAGCGAGCGAAATTGCATTTACGGTTGTACACTATGTTTCCGGTAGCGAGTTAGTGAGTTTAGACCACCTATCATCACCCAGCCAAATAAAACTGCTGGTTTCGGTGGTCCTCTCCCAGCTCGCCGCTTCCCCGAGGCCCGGGGTGGCGCGGCTTATTTTCTTTAGGCATATAGGCCTGTATATGGTCTCCACTAACAGCAATGGAGGGATGGTATTAGGAAGCTAGGGCAATTTATTAGCTTCCTAACGTCACTGTGGCGCCGGCCAGGCTTCTATCCAGCAGGTGCACTGTCCGGCGACTGTGCTACCTCGCTGAGCCTGGTGCTCCCTGGCACGTCGCTACGGGCGGGTGGCGCGTGTCTCGCAGCCATTACGGGGCCCAAGGGGCCGTAGAGCCGGCCCAGGCCCGCGTTTGCGCGTCCGATCCAGTCCATGGCCCCGGCCGCAGCTTGTCTAGCGTGTTCGTCGAGGGAAGCGAATACGGCCGGCTGGATAGGAGAAGATTTCCTCGAGAGCGCGTGCAGCGCACAATAGCCAGATGATTCTCCCAACTTTGTTTCACCTGACTTGCAGTCAGGCAATTTCGCGCAAGGAGCACATCGCCAGTGCTGCCAGCAGGAAGCAACGAAGCCATCTTTCGGAGCTCAACAAGCACCACCCGCGGTGGAGCCACCGCACTCTCCCGAGACCTGCGCGTGCTGAATAAGAGCAGCAGCCGGTGCGATGGAAATCATGGCTTAAGCCACTTTCAAATGCCCATGCTCTGGAACTGGAAAAGGAAGTCTATGCTGCACTTAGTCATATGGCTTTGCAATCTCCTGACACATGCCGGCACTTCCATCGGCACTTTACAAAGCTACGTGGAACCAACAAGCTGCCAGTAGCTGCGAGCTTCCACGGGTGACCACCTCCAGATCTACTGAGACATGCTATCCCCCGGCTACTCTATCAGTATCGTCTCTTCTTCTTCATTTTGGCTTTCGCTTCCTCGTGAGCGAGCTCACTAGCCGACTTAAGCTCCTTTGGCTTCTCAGCTGTGATCTCGCCTGTTTTGACGTGTTTCCAGACTGGCTTACCGTCGACCTCAATCTGTTTCCACATAGTTTCGGACTTGGGAGCGAGGCCCATGTAAGCATTTTTCCGTTCTTCATCACGCATTGCTTCTCTTGCTTCCATGGACATACCTTGTCGAACAGCCTCACGGTCAGCCTTCTTTTGGCGAGCTTCGAGTAAAACTTGCCAATCCCAGGTCCACCACTTGATTCGTTCTTGCATCAGGTCGTGGTCTTTAGACCATTTCTTGATCTTTTCAGCTATCTTGGGAAGCCAAGGTCGGAGCCGCTTTGCTAGGATTTTTTGTTGATGCCCAATTCCAACGTGCAATCCGCGATAGCGTTTGATTACACCCTGCGTGAGTTGGTTTTCGTACGAGGTCCGCCCCAACATGGTCCAAAACTTACCGGCCCGAGCTTGCGGAGGGAGCCGGTACAAGCAGAGACCCCCGCCCTCTCCCGCCAATTCCCTGGAATAGTTTTCGCCAAGCCAACAGAAACGAAGCTGCAGGCTTTCTTTGGCTACAGCATCTGGACGTGCAGCATGAATCCGACATAGACGTTTCCCAATGCGAATGCGATCATTTTGACGGACGAACCCACTTAGGTCGTGCGAGACCGCAACGGATTTTTGACCGGCCAGAGGAAAGGCACGGCCTGGCAGTCGCACACCACCATATATAGCCTGATCACATAGTTCAGTAAGCAAGGCGACATCGAAGCCCCGCGCAGGACACTTCTTTGGATCGGCAGCATCATTTGCCCTCCAGCAGATATCTGCGCCGTTTTGCGAGATAAAATAGCGGGCACGCGCGCGCCTATAGTCAAATAGCAGGTATACACGTGCAGAGAAGTCTTCGTGGCGGATTCCACTGGAACTCTTGACTAAAAATATTTCATCACTGGATTTGTGCTTCCAGAGCGCAACACGCTTCACTGCGAGTTGTTCTTTTGCGTCACTACTCAAAAAGGGCGCGCAGCCTATCAGGTCTAGAAACAGATGGCCCATGTCCAGATGACGAGAAGCGCCATTCTTTAGCTGCTGCCAGGCCTCGCGCTGGCCGTGGCGTGATTCCTGAAGCTGCCGTTGCCCTTCTACTCGGCCGACAGTGGCAAAATAAGTGCGTTGAATTGTAATGGCAGCACGATTGCGCTTTGTCGGCTCCGCTGCGCGTGCGGCTTCGCGTCGATGTCTCTCAAGGACGCGCCGCGTGTTTGCGCGGAATAAGCGCTCGTCGCGAGCATGTATCTCTGCTGTATAGTAACCAAGACGGTCGCATGCGTGCGTGAGACGTGAACCAAACGCATGAAGCTGTGAATAACATCCCGCACAGTATGACTCCTCACAAGGAGGGCATCGCCATCGAGCTGCGTAATCACCACATGCTGCACACGGTTGGACCAGAGCCGTCCAGTGGTGTGGCCGAAGCTCTCTCGCCTCGCTTCGTGCTTGTGCAGCAGAGACTTTGTGAGAATTTGCCTCGCGTCTTGCTATTCGTGCTGCTGCATAGTCTCCATTTGCAGACGCAGCAGACGCGGCACGCAACGCGCGCTTCTCCAAGTCTTTTTCTGCGACTGATCTCTTCAAGGCCAGGCTCTTGCGCTCGATTCGCGCCTGTGTTTCCATCGATATTTCACGTCTTCCACTTTGCCCATCGAATGGATGTCGATTGTGAAAGCAGACCTGTGCACAGCAAGACACATCTAGACAGAGACCAATAGTGGATAGAAAGCGCCGGTGAATGCGTCGCAAAGTGAGATAATGCGACCCTCAGACGCAGAGCAGGTACCACAGGTTCGACTCGCAGGTTGCTTTCCACCGCAATCAACGCACGTTGCTATGATGTGAAACCGGTGCCGCTGCCGCTTTCCTCTGCGGTGAACAGCAGCCCAACACTCACCGCAATACCTACGTGCAGTCTTGCCTTGTCAACCCGAATCACATTTGAAACGAAGCCTGGGCGGCATTTCCCATATTTCCTTTTTGGCGCGCCGGGCACGTGCGGATCGGCACACGAGTCAAGACAAACCTTTTCAGCAGCCTGGACCCCACAATATGCGCAGTCTACGACATAGGCCGTGCGCCTCGTCGGCCGCTGCGAAATACGGGCGACATCCTTATCACGCAGCAGCTTGGGTTTCACCCATGAGACACGTGTCCCCGAACCTTTGAGCGCAAGCACAAAGCGTCGCTTTGCTTTTACGTTTACGAGATCCCCCCCCGAAGTGCCAACAAACGCCCAGTAGCATATGATGCTTTGCTCGGTAAGCATGTCGTCGTCTTCTCCAATGGCTGGTGCTGCGTACTGTAGGACCTCATGACGATCAACGACATACTTCCTGAACGCACGCATTGCGAGCAGGGCTGTGGCAGCTCTTGTGGATGGTCCTCGTGCGAGCCGCTTTTGTATAGACACCGAGGCTGTTTGTTTAAGTTGTGCACGCACAGCGCGTCCCCTAGCTAATCTTTTTACTGCGGTGCAGTTGTGCGCAGCAACAACCCGAGCTATCTTCTGTATTTTCGCTGCAGCCACTTCTAGTCTGTCATCAGCGCGCAGATGTAAGGCCTGCTTTATCTTGTGCGCCCATTTGAGAGGCAGCCACAAATCTACGAGGATGGTGAGTGCACGTGCCACGTGCGATTGAAGCAAGAGTCTGCCCTCAAAGTTACGCACGCCCGGGCGAAGTTCTGCACTGACGCAATCAAGACATGCCTGAGATAGATTGCAATGAGCCAAGCAAACTCTGAGTTACTCAAAACAAATACACCTCGGGGTTCGAGCCTTTAAGGTACACTGTTTGGGGCAAGAAATGTCTCAAAAGCAATAGTTTTCTCGCCATGATTCTTCTGTTTGGCAAAAATAAGTTCGTAATCATTAGCCTTCAGGGTCTTCGTCGATTCTTTGCATGCTGGACCACGACCTCTTTCTCCCCCAAGCATGGCACCAGGTGTCTCTTTAAAAAGCCGGACAAATTCAGACGATGCCATCTTTGCACCGGCACAATGCTGCTGCTTGACAACCGCTTCATGATTTGTAAAGGCACATGTCTTGTGCTGTGTCGCACCATGTTTGGCAACTCTCTGCTGTTGTCGATGTTTAACTGATACTTCATCAAAAGCTGGATGTGTGCCTACACACAAAACCTCGTAAATTTAATTTTCCCAGGGAGTGACCGCCAGGCACTGGAACAATGCGACAATAATGTGCAAAAACAGCCTGAAATTCACCACGATAATTGGCAGAACCGCATAAAGACTCGGCACACAGTTCTGCTCGAGTGATGCGGCGGCATCTAGTGAGCATAGCGTGCGCACGAATACCGCCTTCGTCGCCAACCGTGGCAGCTGCGCGAAGCTCTACGGCTAGTCGAGACGCAGCAAGACGACGAACGCATGTCTGGACTGTGGTGGTCGGGCCATTCAAACGGCGCCGGCGCACGCGGCGTGGACCGATATCTCTGACGATCGCTCTGACCCGCACGGCGGCCTGGAGGCGGACTGCAGCGGTCTGCCTCGCAGAGGTTCGACGAGCAATGGCTCGTCCCCAATTGCCGCGCACAACTTTTTCGATTGTGGTGGCATGAAGAGCTTTTAGTCTGATCTGGCCGTTATGACGTGCTATCCAACCGCGAACTAGCTGCTGTGTTAGAGTGACTGCAGCTTCTCTTCTTATTGCTTCGGCTGCACGCAAACTAAGCCGTGCATGAAGATGCTGCGAGCGCACTCGGACAACGCAACGGTGAGCACGAAAAGCCCCGGCAATCTTCGTTGCCGCCAGCTCGCGTTTAATCCTCTGGGATAATTTTGTTGGCACACAACCGGAATCTGTCGAGGCAACGAGCGCAAATCGAAAGGCTCGAACCACGGCATGTCGCCACGAGGAAGACAAAGATCTTTCCTGGAAGCCGCTGGGATGCATATGTTTATCATCATAGAGCCTCAACGCACTGAGCTGATGTGTGCGGTACTTACGTTGAGCGGCGATGTCGACTTGAGAGTTAAATCGCAACTGCGCCAGACATCCTTTTGCAGCCTTCTCGCGATATCGGTTCTGTGCCCAAATTGCGAAATCGGTCCTTAAACGAGTCACCTACATACGAAAAGATAAGACATACGTCTCAAGAGCCCTATAGAATGCCGGGAAGACGCACATCCTTCCCCGCAGCACGGCGATGACGACGCTTTGCACGTGCATTGAAGCGTGATATTGCCCTGCGAATGGTATTGGCTTTGCGCACCCGTAGGCGCTCCTCTCTGAAATGATGGCGACGCATACGCATGCGTTTTCGCCAACGTTCTTGGATAATGATGGCCGCTCCATTGATGCGGAATTGCTTGCGGCGCATGAAAACCCTGCGTTGTATGAATGCTGAAATCTTTGATGCACGCTCTGCAGCTAGTACCGCGCAATAGCGTTTGCGGCCTCGCTTCCCTCGCACACGACGTTGCAAAAAGACTGCTGCTGCAGCTCCCTGCGTGTATTCAAAGCGTAATTTCACCAGTGTGACTCTAGCCGAATGACAACGCACGCCACGCTGTACGACATACGAGGCGGTATTCAGACACGATTGCTGTCTTAAGAGTCTTCGAGTATTTCCCCCCCTGATGAAACCTTGCATGGAAACTACCAATAATTCTCGTGTTCCAACGAATCGCATTACTGCGCGACGTTCGCGATCAATTTGTGAGGCTCGCAATATGATCCTTTCCCGTAGCTCCACACTCGCCAACCAGCGTTGAGCAGTGCGCCAGAGTATTGTGCTCGCACGACTTTTGCGTTCCCGAGTCATTTCTACCGCGATCATATGCCACCTGCTAAATCGCCTCCGGGCCGACACAGTTTCAAAACTTTTGACCTGCTCTCTGAGCAGTTGGCCCCCGCGTTCCAGCAGCGCGGGTCTTAGCGCTGCTTGCACCGATGGCTTCGCCACTTTCACAGCTAATGTTCTGCTAACGTCCTGCATCATCTTCAACCTAAAACAACTTGACGTCAAGTTTGATCTGTAATTTGCCAGTTTAGACATGGAGGGATACGCATCGTGCTTAACTCGGTGCATGGTAGTGGGGGGCTGCTCGCGAAGGGTATTGATGGTCTGTGCTCGTGTTTTAAAGTGAACATCGAGGGGTGTTGGCCTGGGTCTTGTTGGAATCACAGTATGTGATATGTTAATCAATGGCGACTTTGCAGCGATTGTGATAGTCTCAGAGGAAGAATTGCAATTCACCTGGTTGGCCACGGATAGGACGGGTGGGGGTCGAAACATTGGAAGGATCATGCCTGGGCTAGATTGTTCATAGTCTACATCAATCATTGCCCTTTGTGTCAATTGCTCACCTACCCGTCGGACAGAATCATAGAGGCGGCTGCCCGTAGAGTGTTTCAGAGGTGTAGCATTGGTCCTGAGATCTAATTTTGACATTGGTTGGTGCCCTGCAACCATTGCTGACACCACAGAGAATTCCCGTCGTCCGAGGGAACCCAACTTCCTTCGAATATCCTCTGTCCGCGACTCCTCCTCCTCCGAGGCTTTCGGCAAACGATTAACTCGACGCTGCTCTGCCTTGGACATCATTGCTAACGTTGGGAGCGTGTTCATAGATTGGGCTGAGACAGCCGCAGATGCCTGCTTCTGTGTTTTAGACGATAACAGGAGCGACAGAATTGTTGGTTCCGGCCTTACAGCTGTCGCCTTCACAGGCGGGTTGGGCTGGGAGCTGTCACTAGCCATTGTAAGTAACCAGGTGGCACTATCGCGTTACGCCATGATTGACAAAGACGAAATCTTTGCAGCCCCCCGGAATCCTAGATTACCTCTATGGGATGAAATGAGCATTAGAGAGATAGAGAAATTTGACCTTCCTAGTGGCTCGCTGGTACAGAGCCACTCAGGGTTCTCCCCCTCTCCTTGGTACTTTCTAACCCTGCTATAGTTGCGTCCCGCACTATAATAGACGGGGAGTCTTCCTGGACCTAGTGAGGCAGGTCCTCTGCCCGTGCGTCCAGTAGCCCCGGCCCCCGTATACTACGGCAGCTGAGGTTCCGGGAGGATAACAGAGACGCCGATGTACCGCCGCTCAGGCTGCGTAGCCTCGGTAGTTCACCCTCAGACGGCAGGGCAGCCCCATCAGGCTGCCTCCCTGTCTCGGAGTTTACTATCTCGCTAGGTGCTCAGCAAGTCGGAGCCCAGCGCTCGGTCTCTCTGCGTAGACCTCACGCATTCTCTTTCGCTTCGCTCTTGCATTTCCCCCCGCGCTCGATTGCAGGGGGAGAATGGCACCGCCTGTCGGACGAAGGTGAGCAGTCTAGTGCTGGCTTCCCCTCCTTTCAGTACACAAAGAAGGCGCTTGTCGACCATGGAAATTCCGAGGGAAAGAACGTAGTCGTAAACGGGTTGAATATGAATGGGGATACCAGAAACCATCACGCTGGTGTACCGCCACTGCACAGCTGCGGTAGTTCACTTTCGGATACCATGGCAGTCCACTCAGGCTGCCCCCCGCGTCCCTTAGTTTACTATCTCGCTAGAGCCAGCTACCCCGCCCCCGCCGCCACCCCCTCATGTGCGCGCTTACACTAGCGGCAATTGCGGAGGGTGGGGTGTTTGTCGTGGATTGGACTAGAGAAAAGATGCACATGGGGTCGCGAAACGCCGCGAGTATATCCCAAGGCAATTCGCTTGGAACCCATACCGCATGACACAGAATGGAGGATCCGTAGGCGGCGTGGAGCTTCTTGAAAAGACCGTGTCTGTCAAGTGCAAGTCGGTATAGAGTGTACTCACTCCACCACAGTCCAGTCTCCCAGGACCTGTGCCGTATACGAGTACCATTCGATTTTGCTCAGCGACTCTGGAACCTGAACCTGAGCCAAACTTCTTGCCAGTCAATTTTTTCGAAACGATTCTTGACTGAGGCCGTGGCAGTAAGGGCACCTACCGTGGATAGGACGGCCGGTGTGACCCCAAATACTGCCATGGGAAACGATTCGTCGGAGATTCCTAGTAGTGCGGAAGACCCTCGCCACCAGTGCGGGTGGATACTCCGCGGTTCCGCTGTGAACCTACAATTTGAGACACTAGCTGGTTTGATTTATGTTCGGGAACGCTGTAGCTTGCGCAGCTTTACCCCCAGGTAGTAGCTGAGAGACGCTCAAGTCCCCGACAACAACAACGTCGGCATCTAATGTAATGTAATGCTCTGTTGTCACGTGCCGTGCCACAAGCAGTTTGAGTGCCATTTGCAGCGCATAGTTGTGCCAGGTGTCCTCCACCACACCATCAAATAGAGAGGACTCGGCAACGAGCGTGATAGAAGGATAGATATTTGATGACTCGAGTATCTCCAGGGCAAAAACATGCGCATCCGGAACCACGATAAGCAGCTGTGTGATCCGTTGTATCCCAGGGTCTAGTCACTCGGATATGCACCTCCCTCACGAATTTCATCGGTGCGTATTTCCGGAGCGATGCAAATAGTATAAGCGCTCGGTGCGCATCGTCGATTGTGAGCCTGGAGTTTTGAAGCGTGGCCCTGAAATGCTTTTAAGTGAATGTGATTTGATACACTTACGTGAGCACCAAAGTGATATCCTTGCCGCCCGCCTAAGAAGTCCCAAATTGAAGCACTTCGAAGCATGTTTCCACACCTGTGCTGTTGATTGGCGACTTTTCCTGTCAGCTATGTCAATGAATATTGGCATGCTTGCTACCTGCATCGCGCTGTTAGTCTCCCCACACCTGTGCAGAAGTTTGGTACGCGTACGCCAAATATCAAATGATGCCAGTACTCCAGTTGACCAGACTGGCTAGTTTTGAACAATTGGACATGCAACCATGTCCGCCCAACTTGCCATGCTGTCGTTGGCATGACAAGGCCCAGGGCGCCTTTCGCAGCTGCAAACTTTAGATTGTTAGGAAAGGTGCTCCCGTTGATGTATATGCAGATTGAGCTTCCGTTGACGTCGTGGATAAACTCTGCGTGGGTCTCAACTACCACAGAGATATCCACATTGATACCACCGTTGGCACGCAAATCGGCCAAGTCAAGCGAGGCACCACTATCTGGCGAGATTATTTCAAGCAAGATGGTACTAGACGCATAGCAAAGGAGACTGGCAACGCATACATGACACAGCCTCATTCTAAATCTTAGCTCAGTTTTTTCTCATACGGGTGATTTTCTCAGGACGGTCCAGTTGTCGTCATGTACTTTTCGTTGAAGCCGATTCGGGCTGGAGTATGGGAGAGCGGCTTTTGCGCTGCCCCGTGCGTGCAGGCCGCGGCAGCCTGGGCCGCATGCGCCCAAGGTCTGGTTCGGCTGCCCGCGCTCCGCCAACACTAATAAGTGTGGGTTGATTAAAAAACCGGATTAAATTTTGTACGACGCAGGTTCGATACAGCAGCCTTTCTCTTGCGAAGCGCGGTAGTAAATTCGAACCTGAGCACCGGTTTCGCAAAGCCCGTCGTGCGTAGCTACCTGGTCGCCCCCGCCTAGCTGCCGCCTCCGGCCACGCGCGCAGCGCGCGAGACAATTTAGGAGATTGCGCGCGCCCGGGCAGCCCCTGGATGCTACTCGACTATTGCCGGTGAGGGCATCCCCCAGGCACCGGGCCACTTCCGGGTCTCAGGCGCTCCGGCGCCTGTCGGCGCCTCCGGCGCCTCCGGCGCCTCATTTTCTTCTTTTTCTTTTTTCTCCTCGCCGCTGGCCACATTTGGGATATAATTTTAAAGTTAAGTCGGCTTTCATAAACATAAATGTTGGCGGATCGGCTTTCAGAGTGAGGTCGAGATACACGGGTTTGAAAATCATTGGGCGCGGCAGTTATGGGGTCGTGGTGTCTTGCACTGACGCCGTTTCCACANATCGCCTTGCAATAAAACGGATCAAGCCCATGTCTGCACACACATCTGATTCTAAACACGTCCTACGCGAGATCCGATGTATGCGGCTACTAGGCGCACACGTGAATGTAGTCAGTATGTTAGACTTGTTTTGCAACGATTGCAATGACGAGCTTTACATTGTCATGGAACTAATGGATTCTGATCTTCATCGGATAATCCAATCGCCACAAACACTATCAGATGCGCATCATCGCTATTTTATGTATCAGTTAGTCCGGGGTGTTAAGTATATACACGCACACGGCATCATTCATCGTGATCTGAAGCCAGGCAATCTGCTGGTGACTCGAAATTGTGTGTTGCGTATTACAGATTTTGGTCTGGCACGACAACGGTCTGTGGCTGCACAAGGTGGTGATCCAGACGAAGATGCGGGTCCCATGACCCAGCATGTCGTCACACGCTGGTTTCATATAGCGTCATGAGTGCTGGTGAATTCCTTTTGTTAACGGAACTAATTGCCCCTAGGTACCGGCCACCAGAGCTTATGCTCACACCAGATGGTCGCTATACGAATGCGGTAAAATCTGTGGCATTGGTTCTTGGATTATTAGAGTTCCCTATAGGTTGATATGTGGTCAGTGGGTTGTATTCTTGCCGAACTTCTGGGCAGGAAGCCAATATTTCCTGGAAAGAACTTCGTACATCAGCTTCAGCTAATCTTCGATGTCATTGGCACGCCACATACTGGAGAAATCGAGCGGATTAAAAACAAGCAAGCGCGAAAGTTCCTCGATTCTATCCGTGGAAAAGTGAAGGTTGCTTTTCCTCAAATTATACCGTCAGCAAGTGAAATAGCAACGTCTGCTCTCGAAACGCTATTGCTATTCAGCCCATCAGAGCGTGCCACAGCCGCCATGCTCTTAGGCCAACCCTATTTGCGAGATCTGTCTTATGCTGAATTACCCACTGAGGACCCCCCTGCACCTCACTGCGACTTCTCTTTCGAGCGTGAGAGCCTGTCGCCGTCACAGCTCAGGGACAAAATTGTCCAGGAAGTTTCAGCATTTGACGTCTCGCCCAGGAAGAATGGTGGAGTTGCACTGTCCAGGCAGCGAGGAATTGCTCGTTGCCTAAAGCCCCAACTTCGCCAGGGTGTAAAAGAGCACCCGGCAGCTGGTGCACAGGGTATATTGGCTGGCACACTACAGCAGACAGGAGTTGCATTCCAGTCTGGAATAGTTGAGTCACGCCAACGACCATTTCATTCCGACACCTCACGTGCTTTTCGACGGTGCCGTCCGACCATTCCTAGGCAAGTCTTGACGAACGAGTGCCCAGATACCCATGCAAGCGCCCATACTACGCACCACAAAAAGTCGGTTCCTTCACCACAAAAACGCCGTGACACCTTGGAGAATGATCCAAGGCAAAGGCTCGTCAGCGACCGTCTATCACGCGGTCTACCCAGACCACCACAGAAGTCTAGCAAGGTGTGCAAGAATTCTGCGGCAAAAATGAGTTGAGTTAGCTATTGTTATTAGGTATCGTCTCGATGTGAACATGCACATGTTTAGATCCCATTGGGGCGTTCAGTGTCCACGAAAGTGCTCCCTTTCGAGGCCCATTGATTCAGCCTTTGATTCATAGCCTGTGTACACAACGACCACATCGCAATTAGCAAAAGAGAATAGTTCACAACAGCCTCCTCCTCTTGGTTTCAAAAAGAAAAAGCCGACTGCCACCGTACCCAAAAGTCCCAGATTCTCAAAGATGTCCTGGCAGCGCAAGGGTGCGTAGGCCGCTGGAGCAAGTATGGAGCTCCAGTGGGAAATAGGGAGACTTTCCTGTTGGTATATCACACGGCCCTTGTCATATATCGAAGCCAAGCCCCAAATACGCGACCCCCCCCCCCCCCCCCCCCGAACAGGGGAATGGAAGAAGCGACAACATGCCGCTAGGGCGAATCTAGAGCGGGGGACCAGCGCACCCCACCTATGCGGAGTCGAGTGGAGGACTCCTCTACCTGTAGTGTAGAGCAGGTTAAGGGCAGTTTAAATTGGTGCTAGAGCGAGCTTAAGATTAAGAAGTAGGCTACTCTCGTAGACTCGGGCACGGTACCGCACAGACAAACTGCCAGCGAGGCTATTATAATATACGAAGACGGGAAAGGAGGGAAGTATCAGGGGGGCATGTGGTCCTAGTTGGGATATTGGCTGCTCATTATTGGGTCATCCCACCAGCCAATAGTATATGTTGTCAAGAATAATTGTATATCCAAAGGTTGTATATCCAAAGAAACACAATGCCGCGTGAGGGCCTCGCCGCCCGGCGGCCAGCGGCTTCGCCAAGCGGTAATAAAAACTACTAGCAGCCCACGGGTTTTGGCGAGTGACCAGTCATCCGTCCGTTTTGGCGAGCCCAGCGACTTACCCCAGGGCCCGACGACTCACCCTGCGACTTACAATCGGCCGCGGCGCCAGGCGCTCAAAGCGCGCAGCGAGAGGCTGGCGGGCGAGTTCGCATCGATGACGGCGGTTCCAACGATCTCTGGCTGCTGGGGAGGCCGCCCTCATCTACTACAACACCTGCGACGCGAAGCGCGCGACCCTGGGACCCGTCGACGTCCCGCGACACGCCGACGGTTTCGGGGTCGTTTTCGGTGCTCGAGACGCGTTTTTTTCGCCGACGAGAAAACGCTGCCGTCGCGCGGTCTTTTTGGCCAGACCGTCGCGTATGGTCATGGCGACGTGCGCGCGGCCCTTTAGAGCGCCGAAAATGACTCGTATGTCGTCGCGTAAGGGTCGGTTTTGGGCTGGATTTCCTCTAGGGATCGGACGAACGCCATCCGATCGCTGCAATACCCTCACCGTTGAGCGTGAGAGTTTGCTGGGGCGTTCCTTAGACGTACCCGCCGGTACTGACCGGGTTTCCGAAATAGGGACGACCACGTTCGCGCGCACGGGCCGACGCCGGGAGGCGGGACCCTAGATGCTTGGGGAGGTGTCGGAAAAAAGGGCACTTTTTTCATGCTGGCAGAGACCAAAAAAAGAGGAAAAAAGAGGAAAAAAAAAGAAAAAAAACCGGCGCCGCAGGCGCCGGAACGGCGCCGGAGGCGCCGGAGAGGCGCCGAAGGCGCCGGAGGCGTAAAAGAAAGAAGGTGGGGACCTCGCTACGTCCCTCGAACTCCGTGAGAGTATGACCGAAGCACCATCATCATGAGTGGCCCTGTGCTGAGAAGATGCCCAAAATTGCATTTACGGCAGTACAATATGTTTCCGGTAACGAGTTAGTGAGTTTAGACCTATCATCATCCAGCTAAATAAAACTGCTGGTTGTGGTGGTCCTCTCCCAGCTCGCCGCTTCCCCGGGGTCCGGGGTGGCGCGGCTTATATTTTTTAGGTCATATGGTTTCTCCTAACATCCAAGAATTGGGTTTGAATGATGAGTTGCTGGAGCATTATAGGAAGGAGGTGGGTGAGATGGCCGTGGGTATTTTGGATGGCAAGCCTTTCGACTCGCCCGTCCATATGGGCATACTCCTGACTTGTATGTTTGAAATTCTACCCTATGATGACTCTGATAAGGCCAAGTGGACGGAAATTGGCCTGTTTGGCCCAGAAAAGTAGCTGGCCTGCGGCCAGCAAGCCCAGGAGGAGCCGCGAGGCCACAGAGGCGTACTTAGGAGAAATACAATGGGGCTGGCAGAAAGCCAGCTGGGCTAAGCTGCCACTCAAACGAGCCATATTGGCACTGCCAGATTGAATTTAGGTGAAAATACAGCCGTTTTGGGACCCTGGGCGTGCCCAAAGGCTCTCTTTGCAGCTGCCCAGCAACCCGCGGCGACGTTCGTAACTGGCGATGGACGCGCGACCGACAGAGGCCCCGAGCGAGGCGCGGACGCGGCCGCATCAGGGCCGCGGTGGCCGTCCGCTCGTTCTCGGCCGCGACGATCTCGGCGAGTGTCGCGCGGCGCGCGGTCGTCCAAAACCGCGAGGGTCGCCCTCGACGAGCTCCACGATGCCGATGCGTCCGGCGGAACACAGCGATGGTGATCGGTCGACGCAAAATTGCGCGCGGACGGCCGAGCGGCGCGTCCTCGCGCAACGGCGGAGCGAGTTCGCGGCGCGCCGCAGCCGGATTCCCAGCGATTTCCAACAATTTGTTGTTGGAGCGCGTCGAACAACATACGGTGGGCGTGTCTGGGCCGCCGGTACGGTCCACGGCGTCGGCGGGCGCCGCCCTGGCCCTCGGCGCCACGGTGTCGCGCTACGGCGGAGCGAGTTCGCGGCGCGCCGCGGCCGGATTCCCAGCGATTTCCAACGATCTTTCGGCGGAGCGCGTCGATTAACATACGGTGGGCGTGTGTGGGGCGCGGGTACGGTCCACGGCGTCGGCGGGCGCCGCTCTGGCCCCGGCGCCACGGCGTCGCGCTCGGTCCGAAACCGTTGCGGCTCGCGCCGCCGGCACCGAATTGCAGCGCGCCGCGGGTCAGCGGCGTCCATATGAACCCCTAGGACACGGTGTGACCGCCGGTGGGCCTCCAGGGGGCGCACACATCGCAAGACTTGGCCTGTCCGCGCCTCATCCTGAAGTGCGGACACTGTCCGCACTTCAGCTCCACCCCCGGCCAGCACGAAATAGGTGCCGTGTCCGAAAAAAGACGGCTAGCGTCGAAACCATAGTGTTGACCGCGCTCCAAAAGTTGACCGATGGGGAACGAATCGTCGACCTCCAATTACCGCGAAAACCGAGCTCGTGAATCTATACACACTGGCGCAACAACCAATTCGCGCATTTCTAATTCGCAGTCCACCTCAAGCGTGCCACCCGGCAATTCCAGACTATGATGAATAGTATCGAAGAACACCGCCGTCGTCATAGGCGCATACTCGGTCCCTGGTTCGCAACGCCGGCAGGCGCAGTAAGACGTGTTACACCCTCCTCCCTTCACCTTGTCTCGGTCAGGTTTTACGTGACGGTGCCAGCCGGGATACGACCGGGACAGGAGTTTCCGGTGATTACCAAGGCCTTAAAGTAGGATTTCCTAGCAGCAACTTTAGGTCATTGCGAATGGGCAACAACTCATGGTGCGATGTCCTCCGGGCATAAGGCCAGGTAATGTACCATCCATCGCGATCCATATCACTCGATGTTTAAGGCGAGCGCATCGTCGTCTCAGCGCCAAGATCCTCCCAGGGCACGCAAGCATACATGGCCACCGTGACCGTAGTGTCGTTCTTCCTTCAGAGGTTGATTATAGATTGTAGGTTCCACATGGTGTTCGAAGCGGCGAACAATTTCCCGTACTTGTCAACAACCAACAGCTTATGGTGACATGCCCACCAGGTAAATCAGCGTTTTGAGTGAACGCACGATTTCCAAAATTACTTCCTAGGCGTTAGACCCGGCATGCAGGTCAGAACAGTATTTAAATCCGTGTGTAACTCCCTCTTCAAACAGGTCCGAATTATGGTCCCAACCTCGCGGAGAGGTGCTTATGGAATAGTTGCGTATTGAATCACGAGAAACATTAGGCGCCAATCAAGGCACAATGTCATCAGTGCAAGGCGGTGGCAGTCCCTCCAGAGGGGCTTCGCCCAGCAGCCAGTCTAATGATGCTGTGCGAAGTCCTTTCGGAAACCAAATGTTCGAGGTGAATGTGCCACAGGCTCAGAGCCAGCGCCAATGGTCCGCGGATACTAGTACCCAGAGTACTTGTCATAGGGCGTGCGTCCAGGGCAGGCCTTTGCCCTGATTGCAAATGGCCAGCGTGTCATGGTTACTTGTCCTGCGAATGCCAGACCTGGACAAAAGATCCGCTTTCAGTTGCCAATCAAGCTCAGTTCTGACGAAATCCAATCCATCAAGCTCAATTACCAAAAAGATGGCTGGATTCGCTGTCTGTCGACTGATCTAACTTTCCACTGGGTTCGTAGCGAAGGAGAGGTTGATAGTGAGCAAGAAGCTAAAAAGAAACTAGAGTGGGCCTTTGAGCAAACTGCTTTTGTTCGCGAATTGCGGACGCTAACTGTTGGAACCTCCACGTCAAAAGCAACGCACTCATTACAGCTTGTGCCTGCAAAAGATGCTGCCTTATCCACGGTTGTGCCGGCGATAAACAATGGCACATCACTTGCGCAGGAGCTGTCGAGGTATGCAGCAATGCCGTTTCAACACAAAGAAGCTTGGTTCCGTCAACAAATCGCAAAACTTCAAGTACCGTGGGAAGATGGACACATAAAGATCAATGTGAGACGAGAAAATTTATTGGAAGACTCGATGGAAGCCACCGAATCGATCACTCAAGCTGACATGCGCAAGATCTTTCGCTTTGAATTTATCGCTGAACCAGGCTAGCCGCAGTGCAAAGTTCTTGCGATAAATTTATATAGATTGACTGGCAGGCGTGGACGCAGGCGGCGTTGCACGAGAGTGGTTCCAGTAAGTAGCAAATGCATAAGCTGTCAAAACATATAGATCAATATGGACACAGGTTGGTATCAGATATGCTCTTCAATCCTGACTTTGCCCTGTGGTCTTACAGTTCCATTAACCAGATGTGTATGCAGATAAATCCTTCCTCGGGCATCGCCAATGATGAGCATTTGCGATATTTCCACTTCACCGGGCGGCTACTTGGCAAGGCCCTGTTCGATCGGCAGATTGTTGCTGGTCATCTTGTACGCCCGCTGTCATTTCATGCCGCGTCTAAGTCCCTGACCTCAAAGCTAAAGAGCGACACATACAGGTACAAACATATCTTAGGTTGGCCGCTGACAGTGGCAGACTTGGAACAACTGGATGCTGACACCTACGCAAATTTGTGCAAATTAAAAGATCTTGATGATGTAGAGGTACTATAATATTTACCAAGCTCTGAACCTATCATTTTGAATGGCTGGGTCGTCTCTCAGGTCTGCTGTCTTGACTTCACGGTAACTGAGGACCATTGGGGCACGGCGCAAACAGTCGAACTCAAATCTGATGGGGCCAACTGCACCGTGACGAATAGTAACGTTGATGATTACATACAGCTTCAAATGCGGTATCGACTATTGGACCGTGTCAAGGAACAAGTGAAGGCCTTGCTCATTGGATTCTACGATGTTGTTCCTGAGGTGATCGAATTTGTGATCGAGGTGATTATAATACTCTACTATAGGCACTGCTCTCTGTATTCGATTTCCAGGAGCTTGAGCTACTATTGTGTGGACTCCCGGAAATTGACATTGAGGATTGGAAACGAAATACAGAGTAAAAAAAATGTCTCAGCGGGCTGCTTGATAACAGATTCATAATATACGCATAGGTACACCGGTGATTATGAGCGCAAAGGTTCGTCACATAAAGTGGTCAAGTGGTTCTGGGAGGTACCATTCATCATTGCGCAAGAAAAACGAAACAAAACGAAATTCATCCTGATCTATTACTACAGGTCGTGGTCGACGATTTTGACGAGGAGCATAAGGCCCGACTTCTTCAGTTTGTTACCGGTACCTCAGGAGTCGAATCCAGTGTCAGAGACTCTCTGCTTTGGGAGAAGACTTGGTGAACATAGGTGCCCGCACAGGGCTTCCGTGCGCTTCAAGGAAATGACAATAATATACGCAAATTTACAATCAACTCTATTCCAGAGACAGTATCGGTCTTCCCCAAGGCACATACTTGTTTCAACCGCATCGATCTACCATTGTATGATTCAAAGAAGAAGCTGAAGAAATTCCTAACCATGGCAATTCAAATGGAAGCGACTGGCTTTGACATTGACTGAAGATTGAATTGCCTGTTTTTAGAACTCACGGCAGGCAATGGCACAACCTGGACAGGAGAAACCCAACGGGACCTAGCACGGNACTTTGGCGGGCCCCATGCCCCCCCCCCCCCCCCCGCCCCCGGCTCCCGAACGCGGGAAATACGACGCGTTCTAGTTTGGACCCCACCCAGCCGCCGACAGCGCCGCCGACCCCAAATTGTCCACAAATTGTCGGGGACATTTCGGGTGCTTTTTGGTCCCGTCCGACGCAAGGGGTGGGTTCTGTGTGGGGTTTTGCCGCCGGCCGCGATGTAAAGGGAATTAGCTCCCGAGGCTAGACGGGTGCGCACCTCCCTGTTTTTCCATGGCGATGGTTGGTCCGAAACCACCATGTTGGCATATTAAACCATGCGCCATCTGGCAGTACGGGGACCGCGCAGGTCGCTCTTAGACTAAATCGTAGCCCGATCATCAGAAAACGGGACCTCCGAAACTATTGCCCCGGAGTCACGGTTCACAATCTCGCTAATAGCGACGTTAGTAGACGTCAGGGAGCTAATACACTAGCCTAGCTTCCTAGTAAGCATCCTGCTGTTTACTACCCAGGTCCTTCCAGTCACGACACACCAGCCCAGGGCCTGGCGACTGGCCCTACTGCACTCCGGTGGACCTGACTGGGTGAGTGCTTCATCGCTGCAGGCCATGCCGCTATAGCTGCGATGCGCCTTTGGCTCTGTGGGCGATGGTCCTTGCTCGCTTGGCGGCCATCTCCATTATCTCGACCTTGCGCTCCCAGTTCCGAAGCATGGATTGAAGGTCGTACATTCGCGCCTTCTGCTCGACGTAATCAAGGGTAGAGGGCATATCTGTAGTTTCTGCCTGCTGCTGACCAAGTCGTTTCCTGCCACGGCGCTCGGCAGCGATCTCCGCATTGACAATCGTCGTATCTTCCCGGACCTTGCGGAGCTGCTCTTTACGCGCAGCGATCTCCCTGTGAAGCCAGCTTGACTCGCTCAGTATTGCATTGAGTTTCTGTTTGAGGGTGTTGAGAGTCTGCACAGTCTTCCCAGTTGTCATCTTTAACCGGAGCAGCTCCTCATTACGCTCTTCGATCTGTGCCTGGTACTGTTTGTTTTCTATTTGAAGCTGGTGAAAATCTATGTAATGAAGGACATCACCCATCTCTTCCTTTTGCTTGAGCTGCGCCTCGACCTTCTGCAGCTGTGCCTTAATTGTTGAGTTTTTCAGTCGCAATTTCTCGATCATACTATCCCGTTGTCGCAGCTTCTCCTCCATATATCGCGTCATCTTTTCCGCCATGGTCTTGCCTGTGCGCATATTTTCTGCGCCCACGACAATATCCCTCTTGAATTCATAGGCATCTTTCTTGAGCTCTGCAATGCGAATGTCAGTTTCTTCCAGGACTGCTCGCAGTGTGTCAGCTAATTTCTCCGATGCTTTGCGATTATCCCCAATCTCTTGCGCGAGTCGCTCCTGTTCCGCATTTGCGATCTCGCATTTCTGCTCCATTGTCAACTTTTGCGGTAGGTTCCGCCTGCGGTGCCTCCAACCCTATCACGCGATCTTTACACATGTATTTGTAGCGGCCAGTTGGCGCCATTTGTTACCTTCTTGCCTTCGGCTGGGACTTCTTCCGCGTCGGGCTGATCGTGGATCTGTCGTTCAAGATAGTTGCGGAAGACCTCGTTCTCGAGCTTCAGGCCTTCGATCTCTCGAGACACCTCATTAATTTGCTCCATTATTTCGTCGGGATCGTCATCCTAAAAAAAGGCCGTAAAAATCACAGTCCAATGTCCTCACGCACCATGGGGTCCAGTGAAGGCCTTGGCGTCTAACGCTCACACAGATACTTGCAACGCTCACACAGATACTGTGTGGAGGTCGGTGGACGGGACCGCCTTCCGCGCCGCGCGCGACTACGGCGGCTGCGAGCGCTTCGGAGAGTCCACGAGAGTACAACGGACGGGGCGCGACGTCCAACATCGTCCCGACGCACGTACTTCGACCGCGGGCTGGCGCTCAAGGCGCACGAGGCGGTTCCAACGATCTCTGGCTGCTGCGGAGGTCGACATCATCTCTACCACAAGACCTGCGAGGCGAGGCGCGCGAGCCTGGGATCCGTCGACGTCCCGCGACACGCCGACGGTTTCGGGGTCATTTTCGGTACCGCTGGGGTAGCATCAGATGCACCAGCGGGTTTTGCTAAGATCGACCATTTTCACGGCCGATGATGACGCTTGCTGCGCAGGCCTACGCGCGCCCCACGCGCCCCACCGTTCCAGGCGCCCCCGGGCGTGCCCGAAAGCCCTCGACGCGGCGCACGTCTCGACCGAGTTATTCGTGCGGAGGCCGCCGACGCGCGGCGAACGAGCGCCGGCGGTCGTTGGAAATGGCCCCGAAACGCTCTCGCGAACGAAACCCGGCCGTCCGCGCGCGCAGCGCTGCCGCCGGGCGCCTGCGCTGGACCGAGGCCGCGCATACTTACCGCGAGGCCGTGCGCGGCGCCGGTGCACGTCGGAGACGCCGGATGGCCACGCGGCCGCGGCTCGAGCGCCGTCGCGCGACGCGCCGGTTTCGGCGCCAGAGGCCCGCGCGGGCCTGCAGAGCGTCGGGCCGCCGCGGCGACGGCCCAGTGGCCGGATACTATGATATGGCCGGCCTGTCGGCGACGCTCCGCGGCGCCGGGGCGCCGTGGGCGGCCGCGCCCGCGCGCCGAGGCCTTCAGCCGCGAACCACCGGTGGTCCACCGCGGCCCGATGCGCCGCCCTCCGGGTCTCGCTGGCGGCTCGTGGACCCGCGGGGCCCATGTGGAGGCTCCGCTGCGGCCCCAGGAGACCAATGCAACTAATTGAGTGAAGCTC